TGGCGCGGGGAGCACATGCCCGAAAAAAATCAAAGGTCACTTCTAGACTTCTAGGTATGATGTAGTAGTAGTAGTCGTCGTAGTAGTAGTAGTAGTAGCACTAGTAGTAGTAGTAGTAGTAGTAGTAGTAGTAGTAGTAGTAGTAGCAGTAGTAGTAGTAGTAGTAGTAGTAGTAGTAGTAGTAGTAGTAGTAGTAGTAGTAGTAGTTAGTAGAAGTAGTAGTAGTAGTAGTAGTAGTAGTAGTAGTAGTAGTAGTAGTAGTAGTAGTAGTAGTAGTAGTAGTAGTAGTAGTAGTAGTAGTAGTAGTCAGTAGTAGTAGTAGTAGTAGTAGTAGTAGTAGTAGTAGTAGTAGTAGTAGTAGTAGGTAGTAAGTAGTAAGTAGTAAGTAGTACGTAGTAAGTAGTACGTAGTAAGTAGTAAGTAGTAAGTAGTAAGTAGTAAGTAGTAGTAAGCAGTAAGCAGTAAGCAGTAAGCAGTAAGCAGTAAGCAGCAAGCAGCAAGCAGCAAGCAGCAGCAGCAAGCAGCAAGCAGGCAGCAGCAGCAGCAGCAGCAGCAGCAGCAGCAGCGGCCGTGGCCGTGGCCGTGGCGGCCGTGGAGGCTGGGCTAGGGTTTCCGGTGTATGGTTTAGGGCGCCTCGGCTAGGGTTTAGAATTTAGGTTTTCGGGCGGCGTTGGGTGCAGGGTTAGTCTAGTTAGTAGTTAGTTAGTAGTCTTCACTTGAGGTTATAGGATTCGGTTTAGGGCGCCTTCCACGGCGACGTTAGTCTAAGCGCCTTTCACGGCGATAGCATTTAGTATAGTTACTAGTCTTTAGTTTAGGATTTATAGGATTGAGGTTTTAGGTTTAGGGTTTAGGGGCGCCTGCCACGGCGTTAGGATTTAGGCTGCAGGCTGTAGGGTTTAGGATTTAGGGTTGCAGGTGTAGGGTTTAGGGCGCCTTCCACGGCGACGTTAGTCTAAGCGCCTTTCACGGCGATAGCATTTAGTATAGTTACTAGTCTTTAGTTTAGGATTTATAGGATTGAGGTTTTAGGTTTAGGGTTTAGGGGCGCCTGCCACGGCGTTAGGATTTAGGCTGCAGGCTGTAGGGTTTAGGATTTAGGGTTGCAGGTGTAGGGTTTAGGGCGCCTTCCACGGCGAGGCTGAGGTCCTAAACCCTAAACTTCTGAAGGTCCTAAACCCTAAACTCCTGAAGGTCCCAAACCCTAAACTCCTGAAGGTCTTAAACCCTAAGCTATCGCCTTCGCCGTGTACGTGGACATCGACATCCACTGCGGCGCCGGGGGCCACAGCCGCATCAGGTCTGCAAGGTTTCTAGCCTCTGGTCACTGGTCGATAGAGCAAAGTAGGTAAGGGAAGTCGGCAAAGTAGATCCGTAACTTCGGACACAGAGGGCTGCTAGGCAATGAAACCCAGGTTTAGTCAGGGCTCAGGGCTAGGTAGGGGTTCGACCTAGCTTGAATTTTAATTCAGGTTAGGTTTAGGGTGTAGCGGGTCAACCAAGGTCTAGGGCCGGGAGTAAAATAGGTTAATTCTTCAACATAGCGTTAAAATTTTGGTGGCATTTGGGGTGAGCCCTAACCCTAAGGTTTAGACCTCAAGCCCTAAGCCCTAAACCCAGTGAGTGCGCAGTTTGATCACGGTCTCCGGACCGTGGTGCCAAAGTCTCCGGGCTTTGGCCGTCACGACCTCCGGGTCGTGGCCGTCACGACCTCCGGGTCGTGGCTACCACGGTCTCCGGACCGTGGTGCCAAAGTCTCCGGGCTTTGGCCGTCACGCCCTCCGGGTCGTGGCCGTCACGACCTCCGGGTCGTGGCTACCACGGTCTCCGGACCGTGGTGCCAAAGTCTCCGGGCTTTGGCCGTCACGATCTTTGGGTCGTGGCCGTCACGACCTCCGGGGCGTGGCTACCACGGTCTCCGGACCATGGTGCCAAAGTCTCCGGGCTTTGGCCGTCACGAGTGGCCGTCACGACCTCCGGGTCGTGGCTACCACGGTCTCCGGACCGTGGTGCCCGTAAAAAAAATTTAAATGCTGAACCCTAAATCCTAACAAACCCTAAGCCCGTACAACCATAGACCTTAAACCCTGAACCCTAAAGCCTAAGGAACCCTAAACCCTATAAGCTCGGGTTGGAGGGTTGCCGGTTCTGGAGGTCGCGGGAATTTCAGGTTCAGGTTTGTTTTCGCAGAATAATTCAGATTTTAGGCCTTGGGCTTACTTGAAAATACCACCATAACCTGTCTGACATTCCCCAGCGCCTTCGCTGTCTTGTGCTCGGCTGCCGGGCGCGGGAGGGCAGTTTAAACCTGTGCTGCAGGGGCTTGTTCGGGAGGTTGCAGTCAGATTCTTGCCGTGGGTAAGTGCATCGAAGTCTTGTGCCACTGCTTGATCGGGAGTTTCAAAATATAAAAGACTTAGTTGGTCGAGCTCCTGCCGCGAGGTCCGGGACATCGCGGACAGACAGGAACGGGTGCCGGGCTTGGCCCGGGCGGCGTCAGTGCTGGCGTAGAAAGCAGGAGTGGCTATCCACGGCGGGGATAGCCACTCTAACAACTCTCACTGGCCGACCCAATGTCGTGGTTGCCGGAACCGTTTGTCTTTCTTGCCATTTCTGTTTTGGGTCTGCTCACTTGGATTCCTCGTCAGTCAGTGATCGCAGGCAGCCAGCGGAAATGGAAAGAAACACCAGCGGTTCCGGCAGCCACGAAATTGGGTCGGCCAGTCAGAGCCAGTCAGAGCCAGGCGAGTGGCCATGCGGTAGGCAGGCTGGCTGCCTACGATCACTGACTGACGAGGAATCAAAGTGAGCAGACCCAAAACGGAAATGGAAAGAAAGACAAACGGTTCCGGCAACCACGACATTGGGTCGGCCAGTCAGAGTTGTTAGAGTGGCTATCCCCGCCGTGGATAGCCACTCCTGCTTTCTACGTCACTACAGACAGGAACGGGTGCCGGGCTTGGCCCGGGCGGCGTCAGTGCTGGCGTAGAAAGCAGGAGTGGCTATCCACGGCGGGGATAGCCACTCTAACAACTCTGACTGGCCGACCCAATGTCGTGGTTGCCGGAACCGTTTGTCTTTCTTTCCATTTCCGTTTTGGGTCTGCTCACTTGGATTCCTCGCCAGTCAGTGATCGTAGGCAGCCAGCCTGCCTACCGCATGGCCACTCGCCTGGCTCTGACTGGCTCTGACTGGCCGACCCAATTTCGTGGCTGCCGGAACCATTGGTGTTTCTTTCCATTTCCGTTTTGGGTCTGCTCACTTGGATTCCTCGTCAGTCAGTGATCGTAGGCAGCCAGCCTGCCTACCGCATGGCCACTCGCCTGGCTCTGACTGGCCGAAGACAACCCTGAACCTTCAAGTTAAACCCCAAACCCTTGCGCCTGAAACACGGACCACAAGGCGCACAGGCCGCAGAGACGAAGCCAGCGCGTGACCTCTGGCAACGGCTTCGGATTTCGCCGGGGCTCTGTGTCCATGGTCGGCGGCACCCAAAATCCTAAAACCCTGAACCTGCACAACCCTAGGCCCCAATCCCGAAGCCCTAATGATTGAGTCGGGGGGGAGGAGGTTTGGAGCATCATGACATCAGATTCCCTGTCACAGTATCCTCGGAGACACGCTCCTCCACTGCAACATCGTCCCAGAGAGTACTCCAAGACCAGGCTCGGGAACAAGCCTCACCATGACCGCACTTCCGGCCCCTCCACCCCCGTAGGGGCATCACTGCGGCCAGAAATCGTGACTTGGGCCGGGTAATTAACCCTGACACCCCAAGGCGGAGGTTTGCCGCCCGACGACACTCTCACTGGGTGACCCTGCCTTCCTGACTACGGCAGACACACCAGGAGGAAAGGCCCAGAGGAGCCAAACCACCTGGCCGGGTTATCACAGTAGCCGTCACCCTCCAGTGTCGATTTACTAGGCAGGGAGGGAGGGAGGGAGGGAGGTTCTGAAGGTTTCGGGAAAAGGGGGCTTGGGGGGAAGCAATGCAACCCTAAATCCTAAAGCCTAAACCCTCTACAGCCTAAATCCTATCGCCGTGGCAGGCGCCTACAATGACCTCTGGAAGGCGCCCCTACACCTGCAACCCTAAATCCTAAACCCACAACCCTACAGCCTAAATCCTATCGCCCTGGCAGGCGCCTACAGTAACCTCGCCGTGGAAGGCGCCCCTACACCTGCAACCCTAAATCCTAAACCCAAAACCCTACAGCCTAAATCCTATCGCCCTGGCAGGCGCCTACAGTAATCTCGCCGTGCCCAAGGCGAGTTCTGAAACCCCTAGAACTCGAGAGTTGGCCGTCCAAGCTCGAGCCATGAGTTGTCATAGTGGATTTCATGACTTCACGGTTCCATAGGGGTCTGAGGTTAGAGACTTTGCACACCACCTGGGTTTAGGGTTTAAGGGTTTAAAGGTCTACAGAGAAAGAAAAAGCCGTGTGGAGTTTAGAGGCAGCGCGGGTACTTGCAGCCACAACGCGTCAACGTTGCACTATGAAGGTATTAAATCAAAACCTTGCACACAGCTTGAGGTTTAACCCGCAGCCAGTGCGGCACCACGCGGGTCCGCAGACAGCTAGTAGTACTAGTAGTACTAGTAGTAAAGTACTAGTAGTACTAGTACTACTAGTAGCACGAGTAGTACTAGTAGTACTAGCAGTACTTGTAGTACTAGAAGTACTAGTAGTACTATGTAGCTTGGAAATGACCTTTGCGGCCGGCGCGGGTACCCGCAGCCACGCGGGTACCCGCAGACGGCTGGTAGGTAGTACTAGTAGTACTAGTAGTACTACTAGTACTAGTAGTACTGGTAGTACTAGTAGTACTGCATGGTAGTAGTAGTAGTAGTAGTAGTAGCAGTAGTAGTAGTAGTAGTAGTAGTAGTAGTAGTACTGCTACTACTACTAGTATGCTAGTACTACTAGTAGCACGAGTAGTACTAGTACTACTAGTACTACTAATAATACTAGTAGTACTAGAAGTACTAGTAGTACTAGTAGCTTGGAAGTGAGTTACCTTTGCAGCCACGCGGGTACCCGCAGCGGGCGCGGGTACCCGCAGCGGGCGCGGGTACCCGCAGCCGGCGCGGGTACCCGCAGACGGCTGGTAGGTAGTACTAGTAGTACTAGTAGTACTACTTGTACTAGTAGTACTGGTAGTACTAGTAGTACTGCATGGTAGTAGTAGTAGTAGTAGTAGTAGTAGTACTACTACTACTAGTATGCTAGTACTACTAGTAGCACGAGTAGTACTAGTACTACTAGTAGTAATTACTAATAATACTAGTAGTACTAGAGGTACTAGTAGTACTAGTAGCTTAATTGGAAGTGAGTTACCTTTGCAGCCACGCGGGTACCCGCAGCCACGCGGGTACCCGCAGACGGTTGGTAGGTAGTGCTAGTACTAGTAGTACTAGTAGTACTAGTAGTAGTAGTAGTAGTAGTAGTAGTAGTAGTAGTAGTAGTAGTAGTAGTAGTAGTAGTAATACTAGTATGCTTGTACTACTAGTAGCACGAATAGTACTAGTATTACTAGTAGTACTAATAATACTAGTTGTACTAAAATACTAGTAGTACTAGTAGCTTGGAAGTGAGTGACCTTTGCAGCCGGCGCGGGTACCCGCAGCCAAGCGGGTGCCCGCAGACGGCGCGGGTACCCGCAGACGGCTAGTAGTATTAGTAGTACTGGTAATAGTACTGGTAATAGCACTAGTAGTACTAGTAGCACTAGCAGTACTAATTAGTAGTACTAGTAGTACTAGTAGTACTAGTAGTACTAGTAGTACTAGTAGTACTAGTAGTACAGGTAGTACTGGTAGTAGTACTGGTAGTACTAGTAGTATTAGTACTAGTAGTACTAGTAGTATTAGTAGCACTACTAGTACTAGTAGTACTAGTAGTACTAGAAGTACTAGTAGTACTAGTAGCTTGGAAGTGACCTTTGATTTTTTTCATAGAAAACCTTGTAATAAACAGAAATCCCAACCCGTCACCTGGAAGGTAAGGAGCTTCTAATGACATCAGAATGAGATTCTATGCAGATGCATGTCCGACTTGCTCAGCATAGCAACGCCCTGCTCCTGCACGAGTAGGGTGTAAGGTGACGTTTCGAACCAAGGTCCTTAATCGACCACCTTGCACGCCATATTGCTTAGGAAGTATTGGAGGCTGCCCTTGCTGTGTTCGGCTTTTGGGCTGGACCTTGGATTAAGAATTGAGGCGGCGCCGCGAAGTAAGTTTTCGAAACTTGCGTCCGTCCCTGCGAATCCTCGAAGATATGCATGCACGTCGCATCGAACGTGTTTCATGGTCTCTCTCTTTGGAAGATGCAAAGAATCACCGAAGTACCCCCCGCACACACCAGAAGCACAGGCCCTAAACCAAGACTGTCAAAAACGCTAAACATCGCCAACCTATACCCTAAACCGAAATCACCCCTTGCACAGCCACGCAAGGGACCCCGGCTGAGGTCGAACTGGGACGGGATGGAAGTCGTCGGCACCCGACTCTTGCAAATTTGGGGTCCAGGGTGTCCCAAAGCAGGGGTCAAGTGGTGGTGTCCTTGAATCGGTGGATAGTGTCAGTGTAGCGACAGAAACCCTGAACCCTAAACCTCGAACCCTTTTCCTCAACTGTTTCTTCACAGACTCCCTGCAATGCGGGCTTCGTCCTTGCTAGGTAGGAGGGAAAAGAAACCTTGAGCCCTCAGCGTTGAACCCCTCAACCCTGAACCCTCGTAAGGTGTCCGAGAGTGCTTTAGAAAAGTCAGCCCAGGAACTTGCCACTCTTTGGAGCAGTTTCAGGACGGTTGCCGTGGGTTCGAGAGGTTCATGTGTAGGTATAAGTGGCACCACAAAACCCTAATACATGTTATCATAAAACTAGGGTCATCCTGCTTATAGCGCTACCTTTGACCCTAAACCCCATAAGCCCTAAACCCTAAACTACACTTGAACCTCGGGCATGCTTAGCTAAGCTCCCAATCCTGAAACCACAACCGGTCGATCTGGGTCTGTGACGGGCCTCCTAAAGTGTAAGCGGGGATGGGTTTAGGGTTTATAGGGCTTACCTGGACCCCAAACGTATGTAAAATAATAGCCTTTTATAGGTTTTGGACTATTATTTTACCTACTTTTGGGGGTCTAGGTAGGGTTTATGGAGGGGGGGATGCGGGTGTGGTTGTGGGTTTTGGCACAATTGGGCTTGTTGCCGAAGGCTTTCAGTAGCGCCAAGGACTGTCGTGGAGTCCGAGGTTGATTGACTGGCAGAGAATGGGGTCTCGATAAGTACCAATATTGTGTCGATTATATTTACAGCATAATTGGCCCCAAAACCCTAATTATTCTAATTATTAAGGCCCCTATATTAAAGCTTCGCCGATTTCGGGGGGTGGGGCGGGTTATGTTGTGTTCGTTTGCATTGCTTCAGTTTTGAGCACAGTTCAAGTCAGCGTGTAGCAAATAACTTGCTAGCAGGCCCATGCCGACGGCCTTGCAAGACAGCTTGCTCCAAATCACGAAACGCTTCACCCTGGCATCCTCAACCCCCGAAACCGCCAAACCCCAAATGACATGCATCGCGCTGATACAGAAAGCCGTGGACCGAAGAAGAAGCTCTACCGTACAGCTCAACCTCGAACTCCGAAACACTGGACCCTTTGTCGGGTCAAATGGGTTGTTGAAAAACGCAGGGGCCAGTTGGGATGGAGCCATTCCTGGTCACCCCGAGGATGTGGATTGAGCCGCCTCCTGGACTGCAAACTATGCTTCGTTCATAAATTCAGGGTTCTGTACTTTACTAGGTACTTGTAGGGCTTTGGGACATTTTATATTTCCCTTATTGGGCTTAAGAGAATCTTATCTACTAATATGTTTCAAAAGCTTTAAAAGCCCCACCTAGCTTAGGTTTATTTTGAACCTAAATTCCCAAACCTCGTAGCAGACTCGGCTTTTGTTCAGCCAAGCTTGGGGCTTCGCATAGGATTGGTTGGAGATGGGATTTTAGCCAGGATCAAAGATTTAGTGCTTCCGTGATATCATTGATATGATAGGATTATGTAGGTCTATCTGTTCATAGTTGCAAGACTGCAAGGGTGTGTTTTTGGTGTGTGTAAGGGGTTTAGGGTTCAGGGTTTAGAGAGAGATTTGCACTGCGGGCTCACTGACGTTGGCATGTGCATGGGCCTCGGTCGTGATGATAGAGGTCGAGCGGATCTGGCTAGTCCTCATGCCCAGTAGCAGAAAAGGGTTCTCTCTCTCTCTCTCTCTCTCTCTCTCTTTCTCTCCAATGCCCCTTGCGTTGGGAGGTCTCATCTACAGGCAACTTCATGCTCCGACCAAGTTTTATGTTTAAAGGAAGTGCGGCGGGTTAGGGTTTAGGGTTCGGGCGACGAAGCAAGCCTAATCCGGACTTCAGGGCTATCGGGGTGTTTCAGCTAATCGGGGATTGTCGAATTCTCGGCTTTGCAACGGACCGGACGGGTACACGAGTCGATACTTTAAACTGCCAATGTGGGGGGTTGGTTCCTTCGATTAGATTTTGTACGACTGCCCTGTGATGCTAGTAAAATTACTGTAATGCCTTTGAGTGTTTGACCCCGATGGTGTTTGCAAGTTGTGTCAGGCTGTCCCGAAAAATCGAGTTTCAGGTTGAAGGCCGTGTGTCGTTCAAGGCATGGGGGAGGCTTGTAATGTGGTGTTGCCAGGGTGTCAGATTGCAATGAGTGATACTCGCCCTCATGTCCCCTGTCATTGCGCCGATCACGATCCATGTGCTCCATCTGGCGAGTCAGAGAGTGAGAGTGTAAATCCCGGACCTAAACCCTAAACCTACAGCAAGCCAGGAACATCCGAGCCTTGCCATTCTTTCCCGCGGACCCGACGCCACTTGGCCTTCAAGGCGGGCTCTGGATAGAGGAAGGTGACATCAGCCCTTGGTTCCCGTACGTAATTGTAGGCCCTGACACTGTAAACCCTGCAGCCCACGCTGTGTGCCCAGAACTCGAGAATGCGCTGTAAAATCAATGAAGTCCAAAGTTTCGCTGATCAGATCCCCACCTCACAAGGTTTGGCTAGCGATAGGTTCACAACCTGGACCCGAGACCCTTTCTAAGGCTCATCTTGCCCTTCGGCGACGAGCCTCTTGGGCATCATTGAGAAACTATTCGACTACATTTCGTTGTATACAATTACATCCTTGGACTATGTTAATGCATGATTTCTAATGTGTGACATGATGTTGCTTTTGCCCTTCCCTTCTTGTTGCTTGTTACCTTAGCTTATTTGATCTGACCTGGTATTCTCTTGTCTTATGTTACCTTGTCTTGTCCGTTTAAATTGAGGGCAGTCGTGCTTTGCTTGCACCTGAACACTGGGCACCTAAGACAACGGAGGTGCTGTCAAAGCGTATCGAGATCTGGCGAAATCGACCAGCAAATTAAGGATCAAACCACAGCTCTCTTATTGAACGCGCTCTACCGAAACCAGCTTGAGTAGACTGAGCCAGGATGCATGTATCACCTGGGGCGGCAGTTGTGGTCCGTACTTGAGAGAGCGGTTTAATGTACGAGACACAGGTAGACGCACGCAGAAGCATATGAAGACCCGTACAAAAATCAGAGGCAGCACGAGTAAGTTCAACACGTGACCAGCACAACAGCTTGGCTGTGTCAGGGTTTTAAACTCCCCAATTGTAATTAGTCGGCTGCACACGGATACGGATATGGACGAGATGTTGGCCGAAGCTGGACGTTTCGCAGACTCATGCCGAAATGCAGCAAGAAGTTGAAACAGGGTGTGAAGGTACAAATCTGCATGCATGCATGCATCCATGAATGCATATGTCATTTATGTGATGTACATCATGTCCGTAACTCAATGTGACTGTGCAGGTATGCACGCTTGTAGATTTGTTTGTTCCTTTTGCATGGTCGCAAGTATGCATGTTCGCATGCATGCCTGTTCTTACATACGTGCGTACGCTCGCACGGACATACCTTTCGTATATATGTTTGTAAGTACACATGTATACATGAGTGTGTGTGCGCGTCTGTATGTATGTCCGCACGTATGTATGTATGTATGCATGCAGGTGGGTATGTGCGTAGGCATGTATGAGTGTACCGATAGATGTATATGTGTGTAGTTGCGTAAGCCTATGTATGCATACAAGTATGTGTAGGTGTACCGTACGTGTGTATTTATGTATGTAGGTGTGCATGTATGTGTAAGGATGTATGTTATGTATGTATGTAATGTATGTATGTATGCATGTATGTATGCTTTGCCATGCTATGTTATGTGTTGTATGTTGTCATTTGTTATGAACACTTCATGTTGTGTTATGTTGCACTGTGCTGTGTTATGCTGTACAATGCTATGGCATTTGATGTTATGTCATGTTCTGTTATGTTGTGCAAGTGCGTACATGTGTAGGTTGCACGTATGTATTTATGCTTGGGTGTGTGTGTGTATGTATTTATGCATGCATGTATGTACTTACCTGTATGTGTGTCTATCTGCATGTATCTGCTTGTGTGTGTTTATGAATGCATTTATACAGGCAGTTCTAACTACATATGACTTATACGTATACGCTACGCCTGCATTTATTGCTTGTGTCTTTATTCCTTTCATGCTTGCATAGTTAGGTGCCTGCATGCTGCGTGCATGCCTATAAAGTTGCATACATGTCATGCTGGTATGTACACGTTTGTGTGTATACATACATCCACGGCAGATACAGTTGTGATTTCGTGTTTGGCATTTTTACACATAATTACATACACATGTACATAAGCATGTATGTACGCATGTGTGTATGTATGTGGGTATAGTAGAAGCCAGAAAGTTGGAACATGATTATCCTGATGCCCTTAGGGTAAAGTATAAGGGATCCTAGCACTAATCCTCCTAAAGCCATGTTCCAACTTTCTGGCTTCTATTGTATGTATATATTATACCTGCATATACATGCGTACCGAAGTATGCGTAGGCTTCGAGCTGGAAAATGCTCGGCAAACTGAGCACAGAAATGCTAGTGTGCTCATGAGGTAGGCGGGCTGAGGAAACAAGCTTCGCTGCGGAAATCCGGTTCACGGTGTGGGGCTGGGTACTTCAGAATCTACCGTGAATGCTGAAGACTTTGCCAGTCTGTCACGTGCGATTGCTCATGTTTGCACCAAGCCAGGTGTGAGGACGCCCGCAACTTCTGCTCCGTGAATGTTCATCACATGGGCATGTTGTTGAAGCAGCCCGGTCTTGATGGGAAATGTTTTGGATGTGAGGGTTGGTGTCAGCAACCCTCAGCCCTGAGCCCCCGTTATGTGCGTATTCCTTTTTCAATCTTTGGGCTCCTACTTCCGACCGAGCGCTAGCTCACGGTTGAACTCCAGGCACAACACCGAAGATGTTAAGTCTACAGCGGACAGCTCGAACCCCGACACCAGCCTTCAGGCATAACTAGAATAGGATTCCCTTTACAAGGGGCCTATATATACGGGATCTACAAGGGTACCATAATACGGGGGCCTTAAGAAATCTCAAAATGCGGCGCACCCTCCAAAGCCTCAAGGTTAGCATTTTCAGGGCTTCGGGGCCAACTGCAGATTTCAGGGTGAAGGTGAACCTCCAGACTTGAGGCCCAAACCTGGACTGCCAAAATGCTTGACCTTGAGGTTGAGATTGAAATCAAGCTGTGGTGTTTCCGAGTTCAAGGTCGCAATAACTTGCAGCCCGCATGATAAGGTTTTGGGGCCCAGTATACTATCCTAGAGGCTCCATATACAGTACCATTATGGAATTAGGTCCCAAAAGACCATCCATATTATGGCTGCTAGGTCCAAGAGCAAAGCGCAGATCAAGAATGGGAGTGAGTGCTGTGCAATCGTAGCTGGATGCCACGCGGCCCTCATGTCACCTGGTTAGGGTCTGGAAGGAGGTAGGGTTCAAGGAGGCACCTCGCACGACTTCACAGTTGTGAGCCTACCAAATTGGTTGGTTCTATACGGAGGGAAGAGCAGGAAGAGTGACAGTACAAGTGCAAGCATGTACTACTGCACTTGCTACGAAGAGTAGGTCTGATCACAACTTGCCATAGCCTCTTGCCCAGGCATCCTGCAACCACGTTCGTTTTTCACAAAGCCAGAACCTGATTGGCAGGCAAGTCGCCCACGGATTCGCCAACGGCGAAGAAGTGCCAATGCCCCTCCACTGAACATCTCATCCTATATCACCCAGACACGCATGCAATCTCTCTCTACTTACGACTTCTGGTTAGTTTGGAGCTACCCTAGCTGTTCAAGTTCCCATCTTACGCCCGCAAGTCACGCATGAAGGGCTCAACAGTCCTTTCTAGTATTGCTTTTCGTTCTCGACGTGGGCTTCCTGTAGTGCTGATAGAGATTCGGCTTACGCCCTTTCGCAGGCTCCTCCGTGTGTTTCTGGTTCTCGAGCTACTACATTGCTCGGTGTTCTAGAACTGCATAACATGTTGATCGGTATCAACTGCTACGTCCGGCAATGAAGCCTCTCCTTTCACCGTCCCCCCACAAGTAACTGACAGGTGATGCATACCTTCAGCTAGGTACTTCTAAGTCCTACAGCATACCTATGCGAACACAGATTGTTGTAAGCTGTTCCTGTTAGAGCGTTCGAGGGGTGTCTCTATCAGTCTATCGGGAGCTTTGCTATGAATACTGCGTGTCGTTCAGGGGGTGCTCGGGCCAAAATGTTTAAATCATCTATACCCTGGGCCCCTGAGTCCTGAAGGTCTTTTGAGGCCAGGTGGAAGATATAGACCGACATGATAAAGATTGCGGCCGAAAGCTCTTCAAAGGATTCCGAACCCACTAGGATTTGGTTCACCTTTCTTACTTAACTTCTACCAAGAGAGGGCGCAAGCCTCTCTGCAGAAATGTTGTAGGGCCGCAATGAAGACCAATGTCTGCAAGGCCGAACATCGAAGTGCAGATAGCATCGTGTCTGCGATCCATCTATCTATCTACCTATCTATCTAGTCTTACCTTATCTATGTGTCTGTATATAATAGCTGTCTATCCATTCGTCGCTTTAACTCTGGCTGATAGGTCTGTGTGTTCATCTCTGTACCTCCTTCCCAATCTACAAATGCCTATTTCCCGAGCCACCGACTGATCTATCAATCTGTGTACCTATCTATCTGCCTACCTATCTGTCTATCTGACTGCCTCTTTACCTGTATGCGCACACACACACAATCACTTACATAGGTTTTTTCAGGGCCTTATGAGTCTTGCTCTGCCACCCCATACTCCATCCCAGGTTGGGGATGGTCTTCCTCCTCGACAAGGCTACTGTGGGGTTTTCGCGTAGGGGCTGTGGAGCAGGGATGGGGGCGAGGGGCTGTGAAGCATCGAACCTCGAAGTTCTCAGCCTCGAACTCCACGCCCTGCTCTAAAGAAGCTGCAAGGAAGTAGGAACACAATTATCCGTGGAGCCTTTTGGTAAAGTGTAAAGGGTTTCCAGCCGTAATCATGTGCAGTCCATGTTTGGAGGTCTTCTAGTGGCCTTGCACCCATGAATCCTAAGCTCTTGATATCCTTGGAGTTCCGGGTGAGAGGTCGTTGGCTCAGGTCAAGGAGCTCCATGGACGTGGGCAGGGTTCTCCAGAAAGGGGGTAGGTAGGCTGCAGAAACAGGGAGTCTGGGTTGCCTTTCCTACATTCTGATTCTCCTTCGGCGGCGAACTCCCTTGCGCAGTGTCCTCACTCAATAAGTCGACCTGCAATGACACTGAACTCAGTAGTGTCCTAGGCACATGCCGTGCAATCTGTCCAAGTCAGGCAAAATCAAAAGGTTGAGTCGCAGGCGGATCTACGAAACGATACCTGGATTGGTGTAACGCCGATGTGGCGAGACTCGAGACTCTGCAACCCTAACCTGCAAATACACCATAACACTGGAGCCCTGAATGCTGTATCTGCACCCTAAACCAAAAACCCGATCGATACACAAAGAAAAACATCTGTTTACATATATATATATATATATATATATATAGATGGGTACGTATACACATACATACATACACATGTATGCACGTTTAATCACGTTTACATACACAGACATAACACACATACATATACCATACATGCATGCATACATGCTTGCATACGTACATAGATATGTACGTACATATGTGTTTACTTTCACTTTCACTTTCCACGTGGCAGAGTCTGTACTCAGCTAACGAAAAGTATTGGGGATCAAGCTTTCAGCCCGGCCCAATGCTGCACTGATGTGCAATCCCCTTCCCGACTGTCCCCGGCACGAATGCCCACAGCAGGACTTGACTACAGGCACTTGCAATAGCAAAACAAATAAGTGTCACGGCACATGTCCTGGACACGAGCAGGCGAAATCCTGCACGCTCGAGTTCCATCATCAGCAAAGTACACAGCTTCACTGTCATGGATGTCATAGAGCAAAGCCTGGTAGTGGCCCTGGAAGGGAACGCTCCCTATGTGCAAGACCACGGCTACGAGCTGATAGAGCACAGGCCTGACTCCGAGTCCCTCACGAAACACCGGAACATCAAGGAACCGACTAGGAACAACACGATGCCTGCGTTTGGTAGTGATCCCAGACTCGGAATCACGGTGAAAGCGCCCTACCTGCAAAATGAAAGCCTTGGCAGGAGTCAGCATGGCATGCTTGCAATCCTGATTCTGCCACTGTTCCACAAGTCGCTGGACCGAAATCGTCAGCCCATCATCATTCTCCGGCCACCCCGTCGGAGGTTGCACAAGCAACGGAAGTGAATCCCCACCATCAGCAGTTTGTGCCTGCCCGTTTTCATCCAAGTATCTAGCTTGCCAAGTGAGAGTAACATCCTCGGGCACAAACCACCTTTGGTCACGTACAAACTGCAAGAACTCTGCCGCATCGTGTTGTCGGAGCGGTTCACCCCAGTTTTGCAGCATGTGTACCCATGTGGGAGATTGCCAGAGGTGAACAGTTCCAACCTGCAAACTCCTCTCGAACCACTGAAGAAACTCAAGCGCTTCAGCCCTGAAGAACCTCTTCCAATCTCCCAAGTGAAAAGCCACGTGACACAGGCACTTCAGGATCACATTCATGTAACAGAAGTTGCCCTCGTTTCCAAGGTTCACCAGCATCACAGGGTTAGGCTCTTGAGGCGGGTGGCCAGGGCTCCCAACTTGAGGCGTTCGTGTCTCAAGAAGCAGCCTGCTGCCGTCCAAGCCGCGCTTTGGCTCAGGAGGTGGAGTCGTTTCCAAACTAGCTGGGCTTCTTCGAGCCGAGCTCCCACTTCGATCATCATGGCCAATGTAGGCGAGCTGTAGGTCTCGGACATCTGCCTCGTCGCATGGTAGCGGTGGATCACCATCGGCTTCACACTCAGCTTGAGGAGCTCGTCCAGGGCCTCCTTGATCTCTGCCGGGCGTAAGCTCGGGAGGTTGGGGTCTTTCTCGTGCTTCATCGTCTCCGCATTCCATCGTAGGCCGTAGACCGCATCTCCCGTGGCTGAGATCCATCCTAGACCTTCTGCCATCGACCGGGAGGACGGAGTAGCCATCATCGCCTCGAACTTCTGCTTCACCGTCACCAGCAAGTGTTGAAACAGTACGACACGCATGGGTTGGCTGAGCTTCTCCGGCGTGTTCTGCTTCATCTGATGCCAGGCCGTTCCCACTTGATAAGTGGAGTGAGCCAGACTGTCCGGTGTGGTGGTCTGGATGAACAGCATGAAGCCTGAGTCCAGCCGGCATATGTTCTGCTGAATTTCGTGTCGAATGACAAGGGTCGTGACCATGTTCAGCATCGTCTTCATCTGCGCGAACTCGGCTCTGGTGATCGGCTTGTTGTCCTCCGGCCACTGGTTCGTCTGGTGGTCCGCCACCTGGTTGCTCCATGCTCCTCGACCCCAGCCGTTGTGCTTGGAAGAGTTGGCTGAGTGTGCGGACTTCGGCCCTTTGCCCTTGCCCTTTGGCTGTCCGCCCTGTTGACCTTTTTGCCCGGGCTTTTGCCACTTTTGGGGTCTCTCCTCCAGTTGCTCGTTGCTGGTGGTGGATCCCACGGTCGTCGGCGGTGAGGAGCTGCCGTTCAACACCTGCGGGGCCAAGGTCCGTAGGAGGTCCAGCTCGGCAGTCGCCGTGGCAAGCTCGTCCGGATTCTGCATCGACTCGTCCTCCATGTTGAACAACTGTAGAGAGGTCAGCGGTGCCCGCCCCTTCAAGCACTACTTTCTGTCCCCTGGCTAGCCGGCGGTGCAAATATACACCATGAAAGATGCCAATACACGACCGCAAATGTGCATCCTTACGTTTGAACTCCATCTTGCAGTACTGACAAGGGTTGGTCAAGCTCAATTTACTCGCCTTGATCGCTTCCATGCAGGTCTCAATCACTTCCCTGCACTCCGGATGCTGGCTCAACATGTGGCGCTTCACGTACTGGGGGGTACTAGACCAGTGGTTGCATTCAGGGCAGTGATGATGCTTGGCCTGCACAGCCGGATGAAGTGCAAGCTGCTGCCATGTACAATCACCAGCAAGCTGAAGGATTTCATCAGAGGCAATAAGAGCATCACTCTGTGGAACACTGCGGTCTGTTTGTTGTTGATTGTGTAGGTTGCGTAGGCCTTCGCAGCTCTGCGAGCTAATGTGGTAATTGAAGGCATGCCAAGTACAGAATTTGTGCTTGCAGTGTTTGCAGGTGGGCATTCCGTCCACCGAGTGATCCATAGCTGATGTTGTCAGAGAGCTCTTGACTTCGTCATCTCGTTGTTGTTGTTGTTGTTCTTGTGTGAGATGTGTGAGGTACATGTGTCGTCTCTGTGCAGCTTGTGTGCTGAAGCATTGCCCGCAAACTTCACACTCAAATTGCTCATGCACAACCAGGGTCACAGGGCAGAGTTTGGTCACTGAGTCACCTTCCACTGGGCGGGCATGCCACACACATGCTGAATCAAAAAGGTGGCCCCTCACCATCGTTCGCCACTGGAGCTGTGATGGGCCTGGTCTCACCGAGTTTCCAAGTGCACTGTCGGACTGTTCACGCCGTGTGAGGGCTTGTTGTAGGCGCCGTACAGGGTCCGGAAGTCGAAGGCGATCAATGATAGATCTGTTGGTCTCCTTCGTGAGCATACTATGGGAGCGGGCAATGGAACGAGCCTGTTTGAGGAGCAGGACAAGCATGGTATTGAGGTCCTTTCCCGGGAGGCCACTGCTATCCAGGGCATGGAGCAGTGTGGGCCATACACAGCCTTGCCAAAGCAGCAAGCGCAGTCTGAGAGGAAGAGACCGGTGTCTGAGGATGTTGCCCAGTCTGGAGTAGACTCCCTTCGCCAGCTTCATCCTGTGTTGGAGGGTATCGGTTTCGAACTTGTGGTATCCTATCACTGCTCCGAGGTAGACATGGCTTGTGACAATCCTGATGTATGTGGCCTCCCCATCGAGGAGGAACTTCACGCACTTCCCCTGCGGCATGTCAACCACATAGCGCTGAAGAGCCTTATGTGCATGTAGCCCTCGGAGTTCCATAAGGATCACGGTTTTATCTGCACTGATTTGTAGCCCGAACCTCCGGAGGCTGTGGAGGATGTGTTTCATTGCGGCATAAGCAGCCTCCAACTCGAGGCCAGACCCAACCTGCCAGGCATAGTGTTGGTCGTCAGCATACGTCGTGTTCGCCGACATGATGCTAGCAACCCCTGGGTCCTCCATCTGTCGCAACATCCATCCGGTCAGGAGTGCCCATAAGGTGGGGCTCAATGAACAACCTTGTCTGAGGCCACGGAAGGTAGGGAGGACTGTCTCAAGCTCGCAGTGACTGATGCGAAGACAAGCAGTGTGATGGATGAGGAGGGTAAGTTCAATGAGGTACTCTGGCACTTCAGCATCCCGCAAGGCAGCCTCCAAGTGTTGTCGTGATACACAGTCATACGCCTTAGAGACGTCAAGCGACAACATACAGCCACCACATATGGAAGCCATTTTGTGACCCTGACGTTTGGCATGGACCGTGTTGTGTCCTTGTTGGAGAGCCACCCTCACCGCAGCACAGTGAGCAAATACCCGTTCAAGAGCTTGTGCCAGAGTCCGGCCTGGTACATAGGCGAATTGGGGCACCTCCCGGAGGTACCGGATCACATATTCTTGTAACCGGCTCGCTACAACCGAGGCTAAAGCCTTCGCTGGCAGTGAGAGGAGTGAAAGTGGCCTGAGATCGCCAGGTGTTTTCATAGCTTTCCCTGGTTTAGGGATGAGGATGAGATCGGAGATGCACCAGGAGCGCGGCAAGCTTGTGGTACCCGGGGCCAAGTATAAATTGAACTGGGCAGACAGGATGGGAGCCACCTCCTGGGAGAAGTGTTTCCACAGAGCCGCAGGTGCACTTTTATGTGGCATAGCCTTTCCAGCCTGTAGCCGGTGCATCGCTGCCAAGACCTCGTCCACCGAGATGAGGGGGCCCTTGGAGAGGACAACCTGATCAGGCACCGGACCCGCATACAACTTAGCAAAGTAGGTCTTGATCTGTTCGAACTCCGCCTCGTGGGTCTGGATGCCGCCATTCGCATCTCGTAGTTGCAGCCGCTTCCTTGGGGCCTTGGGAGCAAACCGTTTGGCTGCCTGATGTATATTGTCACTCAGCACCACCTCTTCAATCCGGTTCGTCTTTCGTCGCCGGCACTCCTTGCGGAGTTCGCGATTGTGACTGTTCAGTCTGAAGAGGAGTACCCATGCCTGCAAGGCTCGTGTGGCCATCCGCCTCGGGCTCGTCCACGTTCCAAGGGTCTGAGTGGCCTTACGGACATCATCACGTAGTTGCCACAGATGCCGCACACAAACCGTGAGAGTAGCATGCTGGGGGCAAGGCACAGGCCGGGTGGTATCGTTGGTAGGAAATTGACCTCGAACCGCTCGCCACCCCTCTAGTAGTTGGTCATCTATGGCATCAGTGGGTTGCATGCACTCCAAACGATTCCGTACTGCCTCGCCCACCTGGGTCGCCATTGTGGTGTCCGCTAGGGCCTTTCGAATCTGCCGTGGACGAAGTCCATGATTGTCGCCGGCTTTGGTTGTCGGTCGGGTGGGGAGAGGAATTGTGGCTATGACAGGCCTGTGTCGGCCTCCACTGGTAGGTACAAAAGGCGTTGCCACCGGCCTTGCCCGTTTGGCTTCGGGGTCGAGCAAGTTGCCACGTGTGATCACAAAGTCAATCTGAGATCCTGGCTCCTTGCCCTTCGTGCTAGGCGGAATAAAAGTTGGAGCCGTGGATCCTCGTCGGGCCCACGTGTTAAGGGCACAGCACCTGTGATTTCGCAACAGCTCCTGGAGCTCCTGCTGGTCCTGTTGCTGGCCAGCACGGTCAGAAACCACACCACTTCCTGCAACGGTGTTGTCTGGGATGAGAGGAGTGTTCAGGTCACCCAGAACAACACAGCCATGTCTCTGTGGTATTCCCTGAAGCCATTGGTCCAGCGTCCTCCAGATCTGTCGCCTCTGTTTGAGTAGTGCCTCCACTTTATGTGTGCCCGTGAGTTCCAACTTCTGAGTATTCCATGAGTATTGATACATGCAGAGCACATCTAATGGCACCTGGAAGCAAAGGCGTAGATGCACAACTCTTCCTGGTACAAGGCATACGGTGCGGATATGTGTGGGTGGGACCAGTCCGGCACGGACTAAGCACATTAGACCTGAAGAGTCCTTGCCAGGATAGTTTACGACGTGCCAAGCAAGTTCACCTGCCTCGTCAGCGGTGGTATATTCCATCTCCTCCTTCCAATGGGTTTCTTGAAGGCAGCAGATGTCCACCGTGCGGCCAGCCTGATGTTCGTCACGCAACCAGGTGATCACCTCGTGGTAGCGCGGCCCAGAAAGGCCTCCGCAGTTCCAAGTGACTATGCGAAGCCGTTGCTGCTGTCGGGGCACCAGCCTCGTCGGGCGGGTGTCCTTTCGAGTGCATCGTTCGCCTGGGTGGAGCTGATCAAGACTCATGAGGCGACCCCTGTACCAGGTTTGTCGTTGGGCGTTGCCTTCTGCTCTGCGAATAGCTCGTTGCAATGCTCTTTTACGAATTGTAGTCTGTCGGGAAGGGATCTCGGTCTGGTGGGAAAAGTAACGGATTTCACCCGGCTTCGCCCCCGAGTTTCGCAAAATATCAAAAGGATAGGCTTCAGGACCGTTAGGGTGTTGCAACGGTCCAACCCTCACCTCTACTGCAGCTTGGCATGTCTTCATTGGTAGTAGCACAAGCAGAAACTGAAGCAATCTGTGCACTCTGCATTGGCTTCGTTGTATGCTGCAGTCTCGGGACTTGGGACCCGAGCAACTCTCGTCCTTGTGTGGTTTCCTCGGCCTGGAGGTACGCAGCGTAGCTGATGAACCTGCATTTGGTAATTGCCGGATACACTTCCTGCCATAGACGAACTCACCGGAGTGCGACCCCGCCTGCTTCACGAGCTTCACGTCGGCAGTGGTCTCAGGCCTGAGCAGGATAACCAGGAGGTGCGTTGTGAGGATCACACCCAGCAACTGTAGAAGCATTCTGAACCCTGATGAGGCCCCCTGCCATATACTCAGGAAGGTCGGCATAGAGTACCTGGCCGCAGTCGAGGTGGACCACGTGTGCATTCGAGGCTGGCATGAGGTACAATACCAAGTCAACTTGCACGGGCTTTGTGGTCTTTTTCTCCACTGCATGGTGTCCAGTTTGGAGGCAGTGATCGCACCGGCATCGTGGTGGCATACATAAGTACTTTGCCAGTTGGGGGTAGTCTGTCCTAGGGCAGCCTGAGTGTGGGCACAACCTGTCACCACGCATCCCCGACCAACTAGCAGAGTCTCACTAATCACTGACCACACGGCGCCGCCTAAGTGAGGGGATTTGTGGCCCAACTGAGGCATGTGGCACAGCACATCAAGTGAGGGCTGCAAGGTCAAATGGATGCCGTTCTAAACCCCCGCCTCTTGTAGCAAGAGTAGGGCCGGCATTAGGGTTTTGCATGGTGGTTAAAAACCCGTGCGCGCGCAAGCTCGCGCAAGGGCGGGCGCAAGATACATAACATACTAACTGAGTCGGAATGCATGGTAATTTACCGTTTGTCGAAAAGTTATGTTGACATGAGTGAAAACCCCTGCGCGCGCAAGACGGCGCAAGGGCGGGCGCAAGCTCTGTCCAAATGCTGGGGCATGGCTCCTTTAATTTAGAACAACATCCAAATGAGGCTCCAGCTTCCGGTTTGTGTTGGCACGTGGTTCAGCCTTCGTCTTCGGCTTGGGTCGGGCGCTCGTCATCATCGTGCTAGCCGGCATCACTGTCGTCGAGGCCGCTGCCGTGCTCCCCGAGGCCGTGCTTGTCGTGGTCGGTGCTGTAGTGCCAGTGCCAGCACCCACAGCCATCACGGCAATGGAGGCATTGGAGGTGGGCCCGGGCAGGAAGACCTCCGCATCATCTGTAGTGTGCTCATCCTGGGGAGGATCATCTTCAAAATGCAACAAATTGGGATGAAAGGTGTCTCCTGGCGTGAGCGGCCTTACCTCAATGGTCACATCAGTGTAGCCTTCCAATCCCCATGGTATCACTGTCAAAGCACTTCGCAGCGTGATACCCCTCTGCTGGAGCGCCGTGAAGACCGAATGCGACAGGTGATGCGAAAGTGGCTGCTCGTCCTGCACTGGTCGCGGGGTTGGCGGTCCAAAGGGGCCACCCGTTCGCGGCCCAACTGGTCCACTAGTGAACTCAGAGCCTTCCGAAATGTCATCCGAGGACGGTTCCTCCGTGTGTCGGGTCGCCATCAGCTTAGAGCTATCACCCGGATCCACGCAGTGATCACACCTTTGAGCCATCAAGGAAAGTTTCTCATTTGCAAGACAGGTGCAGGCAATCCACTGCTCTCTCCAGCAATAGCAAGAAACTTGACAGACACGACAAACATGCCCTGGGCACTCGGTAGGGTGTCGTCCGGCTGGAAGGGCCAACATTGGCCCCGTGTAGAGACGGCCAGGGGTCACATTTCGCTCAATCATGATGCAGTGCACTCCCACAAGCCAGATTAGCCCGCTGCATACAAGTAGGGCGATCAAGCTCGGCGCATACAGAAATCGTATTCCAGCACCTGGATCAGCACTGAGGGGGCTCCTCGTTCCGCGTTGTCCACAGAGCCGCCAGGCCCCTTTCAAGGCACGGCTAGTCCATCTGGTTAAGCTCCGGAAACTGGGAGTCACAGACCACCAGAAGCATGTCTCTGCTAAACCGAGGATAGTGAGTCCAAAGTTTACGAAACAGCTGAATACGGCCGTCAGGGTCAAGGAGTATCCAGCCCTCAAAGAACACGCACAGTGCCCCCAGTCCTTTCCAGCGCCCAAGCAGTCGTCGCTGGCGTGCAAACCGCTCTGGCTCTGACAGGAACATCCACTGTTTGCACAGCAGCCCCAGTACTGTTGTTTCAACCAGATTCTCAAGGAAATGATGGTTGTCCAAATGCAGAGGTCTGCGGGGGACCTTGTTGCGCCCTGGCACAAGGAGAGGATTCTCTTGCCACATGGCATGCCTAAGCAGGTAGCTACTGCCTGGTGTTTACAGGCCCCAGGCTGGGCCAGGCTTAGCTGGCCGTCCACCTTGCGAGAGCCGAGAGGCTTATATGTGTTTACATACATACGTACATACATGCGTACATACATACGTACAGACATACGTGCATACATACAAGCGTACATGCGTACATACAGACATACATAGGTATGTGTGTGTGTACATCTTGTTGTTTATGTTTGTGGGCTTATGTGTACATTTAACACTATGCATATCTACATTCATATTGTATGCATCTATATATAGATGCCGGTTCATCGTACTTGAGCAATCAACGCCCTACCCTGACAGAGGAGTGCTCGGTGGAGTTCGAGCAGGTTCGAGAGTACATGACTGCCACTCTACTCAATCGCTGACTTTCAACACCAGCGCGCAGTTACAGCCCATGTGCTCCAAGGAAAGCTGATGTTATCTACCCTTCTATACCATCGTATATCAAATGTTATTCAGGTATGTCCCCTCAAGGCTCCCCTCGTGGCATGTTGTAGCACAGACGACGAGGCAGGGCGACGAACACCACCAGAATGGGCACCCCCAGCCCTGTAGACCACAGGCGGATCGAGAGGCGGACAGAGATCCTTGTACCCGTGATTTTCATTCATCCCATATTGTACTAGCTTTTAGTGTAGTATAGTAGAGCATTTTCAGTATCGTATAGTGAATCATACTATTCGATCTTCTGTGATGATGCATGATTGCGAAATATTCTGCTTATTACCTATTAGTCTTATACAATACTGCTAGAATTTCTTTACTAGTGTTAGTCGTCTTGTTACTATTCCTTTTCAGAATCTGCTTGCTTTTGGCCCTTTGCTGCGACATCTGGTTGAGACCTCAACGAACGATCTCAGGTACTTCGTTTATATATATATATGCCTTCAGGTTCAAGACTTCTTGGGCAGTGTGTGGGCGCAGCTCATAGATTTAACGGTCAACGATTAAAAAAAGGTTCAAGAGTTCTGACGAGCCCTGGACACTGGGATCGTCCAATTAGCGTATTGAGGCGTATTGTTTCGCTGCCTTCAGCTTGTAAGCCGGAACCCGTAGACTGCAAAAGTCAAAAGCTCCCCTCACTGCCCAAGTGCCAGCATCACGGGGTTTATGCAATTTTGTCTTGGGTTTGACCCTACCAGCCCAATTGGCACGAATGCTGAGCGATAAAAATCCGAACAGCAAAGGTTCTAAAGGCCAACTCCACGGCTTTCACTAAACCCTAAAACCCCTAAACCTTAAAGACGCGAAACCCTAAACCCTAAAACCCCGAGCCCTAAGCACTCTAAACCCTGAACCCTCATCCCTGAACCGCTTTCTGAGGCACAGAACATCTCGAACTGGAGTGAGTTTCAGTTTCAGACCGGACAGGAGGCCGGGTCTTGTTCTGAAGGTTTGGGATTTCGCTTGGGCCAAATTAAGGGTCCGGCGCAGGGTACGTTCCTGAACTCCAGTGATCCTGGTTTCTCCTGCTATCTTGGACTATGTTGACAAGTTAGTTTCTCGATATCAGGATTCCTTTTTCCGGCCCTTCTGGTTCGGGCCTTAGGGTTCCTATGGTCCAAGGGGCAAAGGCTGAAACACCCGAAGTCGAGCCTTGAGCTTGAACCCGAAGCCTCCAAAACCTAAACCCCCATAGATCCCCTATAGATGCCTCAAAGGGACCCTAAAGCCCTGCAGATTCCCCAAAGGGACCTTCAGCCGTAGTTTCTGAATCCCGTGATCCTCCAAGTCCCTGCTTCATCCGAGCCCGGCGACCTAAAGAAGGCCGGCGTTTGCAGCTACCCGACGATGGCGAGAGCTAATATCTGCGGAGGTGATCTCGACACGCAGGCTCTTCAATTTGAGATCGCATTTCGTCTGCGCTCAAGACTACAACCTTAAAGTCTACAAGAGCCCTTACTGTAACCAAAGCCGCTCTGAAAAGGTGCATGAGGAATCCGGTGGACCAGTTTAGGCTTTCCCAGACCCTTGTTCGAATGTTTAAGAACTCTAGATTACCCAGAACCGCTGCGTCGTGAGTCTGCCGGAGGTTTCGCACACAAACACACACACACACACACATACATACATACATGCATGCAAACATACATGCAGACATACATGCAGACGGACAGACAGACAGAGAGACAGACAGAGACAGACGGACAGAGACAGACAGAGAGAGCCAGACAGAGACAGACGGACAGAGACAGACAGACAGACAGACTGACTGACTCACAGAGACAGACAGAGATATACAGACCGACAGACAGACATACTACCTACAGACATACGTACCATTACGTCATTACGTACCTATTGCATACGTACATACCGACAGACATACATACACAAGCGCATACATACGTGCATACATGCATGCATGCATACGTATATATATATATATATATATATATATTTGCATACATGT